AAAAACGGTTGCTGCTGCTGTTGTTAAGTAATGTGGAGTAAGTCCCCACTCACAGCGACCCTGTATAGGGTTCCCGAGGAGTGACGATTACAACCTTGGACATCCTATATCATAGTGGTACTCTGCTCTATATGACTCTGAATCTACTTGAGAGAATTGTGTTTGGTTTGGCTCTTGATGTCCCATATTAAAAACAAAGAAAATGAGGCCCAGAGTATCTAAGGAACTCGTTCAAAGTCACACTGTTGGCAAGCAGCAAACCTGAGATCTGAATCCAGGCAGTCAGTGTGTTCCAGTCCTGAATTTTTAATGCTAAGCTAAATTGCCTCCTAAGATTCCAAGGAAAAAAATGTCAAAGGGGGAAGAGTCTCAAGAACTGAGCTCCTAGGCAGTTGACATTTGGAAATCACAAAAATCACTAAATCAGGAGCAAAGCAGAAAATCAAAAAAAAAAGTTTGATGTCCTAGAAGTCAAGTTAATAACTCACCAAACCCACTGTTACTGAGTCAATTCCGACTCAGAGTTACCCCGCAGGGCAGAGTAGAATGGCTCTGTACAGTTTCTGTGGCTATAAATTTTTATGGAAACACACTGTCTCATCTTTCTCCTGAAGCCCAATGGTTTGCCCAATGCACCACTAGGGTACCTTCAAGTAAATAAAATATACCAAAAAGGAATGCTAGGAGATCAAGAAAGAATCAGTGAGGAATTAACCACTGGATTTAGCAATACGGAAGTTACTCGCTGACTCACTGTCACTGAGTTAGTTACAAATCACAGAAACTCTGATGGTTTCCAGACTGTAAATCTTTATGGGAGCAGATAGACTCATCTTTCTCCAGCAGAGCAGTTAGTGGGTTTGAACCTCCAACCTTGTCAGCAGTCCAGTGCTTATCCTACAGTGTACATTACAGAACTTTGAAAAAGTTTATTTTTGTTGTTAAGTGCCATCAAGTCAGTTCCGACTCTTAGTAACCCTATCTAGAACAACTGGTGAGTTTGAACCGCTGACCTTGCGGTTCAAACTGACCTAATGGTTGAGTGCTTATCCTGTATCGCCACACCAGACTTCACAAAAGTTTACAGAAATAAGTTATACTTATTCTCCGAAAGTTGAATCACAGAAAGAAATATGATGTTCAAAAATGAGAATCATCTATTCAGTAAATAACTACTGAATGTTTATTAGTGCCAGGAGATTTATAAATGAGTAAGCCAACAAAACTCCTTGTTCTCATGGCATTTACACTCTAGTAGCATGTTTAGGCATGGAAAAAAAAGCAATCATCAGCACTTCTTCACTTTATATAAAAGCATACATTACCTAAATCAGTTATTTGATTTCTGATTCACAGTTTCAGTGCATGAATAAAGCTGAGTGTATTTAATTTTGAAGACATACAACTATATATAAATGATTCATCATTGCACCAAATGAGTTCATGGGAGTTACTTTATTATCAAGACATACTGGTGGACAAATGTGAAGAAATATTGTTATATATGGCATTCCACATGCTAAACTAATAATAACAAGTGAACCTGTTTAATTCTGTCCAAAGATTATTTACTGGAAGTCTCTGAAGAGTTTTCTTAGATAGACTAACACATTATACTTTGACATATGGATAATTTAGCTTAGCATGAAAGAATTAATTCAAATACTAAACCTGACTAATTTAAAAAAATAACCTTTTCTAAAGCAAAACAATGTCCCTAATACTTATTGTCTAACAGGTACAAATGACATACTTTCAATTCAACAACACTTATGAAGCACTACCATGTGATGATATTTAAAAGAACTTGTTAAATGCCTTCAAGTCGGGTCCAAATCATAGCGACCCTGTATAGGGTTCCCAAGGAATGGCTGATGCATTTGAACTCCCAACATTGCTGTTCAAACCAACCTTGTGATCTAGTGCTTATACTACAGCGCCACACCACGACTCCTTAAAGGAACTAAGTAAGATAAAATAGGCCTCAAAAACCTATACACTGCCATTAGTATAGCTACCTTCAAAGCTAAATAATTTGGTAAAAACAAAAAGTGTTGCAGAAGTTTGGAAAGAGTAGCAATCGCAGTGGGCTAAAGCAGTGGTTGTAAACTGGGAGTTATTTTATTCCCCCAGGAAACATTCAGCAATGTCTCGAGACTTCTCTTTCTTTCATGAGTAGAGGTAAGGTAGGTGTCACAGGCAACTACTAGGAAGAGGCCAATAATGCTAATATCTTACACTGCAAAGGAAAGATGCTAAATATCTCACCCACAACAAAAGAATTATCTGGTCCAAAATGTCTATAGTGCTTCTGTTAAGAAACCCTAAGCTAGAGTAATCAGGAAATGATAGCAGTTTAACAAGTTGAAGTTGGCTTTAAAACATGAAAATATATAGACAGTTCAAGTAGAAGCAAAAGTTCAAAGTCAAGAAGTAGTATGTGTCTGAATTGGGTGATGTAGGTAGGATAAGGATTTGATGTTGAGAAACTACAACTGAATCCAATGGAAATGTGCATTCAAAAAGTCAGCTACTCATACGAAAACCAAATGTACTGGATTCACTGGCAGGACCCTGTTGTCTGGAACCACAACTACCCCAGGAAGTTTTTAAGCCATAGTCGATTTAAATTTAGTTCAATTACTAAGAATGCTTGCCTTGAGCACTGTCCTCTTACCTATGAGTTCACACTGAACAGTTAATCTAAAGCACAGATGAGAACTTCAAGGAGGAATAAATTTAAATTAATGGTGATATTACAACATGGGAGTCCTGATGTGGCATTGTAGGACAACCACAAGACTAGCAGTTCAAACTCACCATCTGCTTCTTAGAAATCCTATGCAGTGTTGCTATGTGTCGGAACTGACTGGACCGCACAGAACAACACAATACAAGCAGAGATAGAATGATGATACATTGCAAAATACGTAACAACTCCACATGTAGAAACTGTCAATAAATGTATGTTTGTGTATATCACCACCAAAATCTTTTTTTTTTTAATAAAGTCGGACAAAAAGGTGATTAACGGATTAAGTAGTTAGTAGCTAGAAAATATAGGTTATGAAAACTAGATAAAGATGCCAGAGACAGAATACACAGTTATTAAGAATTTGTTTTACATATTTGCCCTAGAGATTAGTACAACTATTCAGAGCAGCAACCACGTCATCCTCATCACTGTATTTCTTATCTCACTGTGTCCCATAAGTTGTTGTTGTTGTTGTCAAGTGCTGTCGAATCGATTCCAACCCATAGTGACCCTATATAGGGTTTCTAAGGAGAAGCAGATGAATTTGAACTACTGAGCTTGCAGTTCAAACGGCTTTGTAGTCTGGCGCACTAACCCACAGTGCCATACCAGGACTCCTATAAGTAGTGTATGTTAAATTTTTATTAAATTAAAGTAATTTTCCAATTATTTATGACTATTATTGGTGATAGGAGCTCTGGTAGTATAGTGGTTACGAATTGGGTTGCTAACCTCAAGGTCGGCAGTTAGAAACTACTAGCTGTTCTGTGAGAGAAAGATGATGCTTTCTGCTCCTGTAAAGATGTGCAACCTCAGAAACCTTTGCAGGCTCACTATGAGTCAGAACCGACTCCACAGTACTAAACAACAACACTGGTGATACCTACAGTTCTGTCCATTGCTGAAATTCAGGACATCCTTTTAAACAAGGGAGCCGGCGAAGGGGGTTGTCATTTATTAACTGTCAAAAACGTAAAAGTACTATAGTAGGCCCTCTACACATTATTTCATTTAATCACAGAGTGAGGTGTTTTGCACCACTTTAAAGATGAATACTTTGGACTTAAACAGTTTAAGTAATTTAGGGAGAGTTATGATTAAACCTTTTTCTACTCTTAACCCAAACCCCCAAGATTTAGTGGCAAGTTGTGTTAAAGAAAATAATTAAACTCAACACCTTTCATAATTAAATATACAAAGATATATACAGGAAATCTATGAAGTTTTACTTATATTTCTTTACTAGTGTAATTATTAAAGTCCACCTTAAGGCCATGTTGTCTCACTTCCACACTTGTATGGCATGCATTTAAATCATCCCAACACTGTCTTCCAGGAAACTCAATCTCGTATAATTATTTCCTTCAGGCCAGAAAAACAATCAACAAAAAACTATCCCATTGAATTCCTGTAATCCAACCTAATACCAATCATTCAAAAAAACGACCAAAAATTAGCATTTCAAACTCCTTTCCAGATTCAAGGGGCTCTTCCATACCTTAAAGTTCAGAGACCTAATCCAAAATGATCCTCAACAAAGTTTCAGCTGCTGGCAAGTATTTCATCTTGACCTCGTGCAACATTTTTGCGATTCTACTCTTAATCAACAAAGAGCTCTGGTAGCGTAGTGGTTACGAATTGGGTTGCGAAACGCAAGGTCTGCAGTTCGAAACTACCAGCCGCTTCGTGGGAGAAAGATGAAGTTTTCTGCTCCCGTAAAGATTTACAGCCTCGGAAACCCTGTTCAGGGTCGCTATGGGTTGGAACCAACTCGAGGGCACTTAACAACAACAACTCTTAATCAACAGATCTCCCCTTCAGATACAGTTAGAAAGATTTGTAAATTTTCTAAGGAACCTTACCTAAAACATTCAGCGAGATCCAGACGCTTACATACTTGCTCAGGTAATCACTTTGTTAGGCTATAATCCCACTCTTGCCGGTTCTTCCAGAAGCACTGTCCCAGCACCAGATACTACACCAGCTGTTCCTCCCAGGTAATGTACATGAACCCCAAATGCAGTTCTTTCAATTCCTATAGTCCTAGCTCAAGGCCTATTTCGCAGTCGGAGTCCTTTTCTAAAAGGATTTGCCAAACCCCAATCTTCTCCAAACTCGAAGGAAGGAGTCTCGGGAAAAAGAAAGACTTTGGCAGTGGCCCGGGAGTCCAAAACATATAAAGAGAAGGTGCAGGATGGGACTGCAATCTAATGGGGGATGGATAGGGAGCGGCAAAAGCACTTACCCACATCCTGATCGAAGGGATTGGTGGCAAAGAGCGGCATCTCCAAGGTGTACCGAGGTGTCCACAGGGACTCCCCCTCGACACCACGGGAGTCAGGGTGCGAAGTAGCAACGAAGGCTCCTCAGGCAAAAACAGCAACAGAGGTTTCACGGTCCGCCACAGCTGCAGCTCTCATCCACCCCCAGCAACCGCGGCTGCGGCGGCAACAGCGAAGGAGCGGAGAAAGCCCCGCGCGTGGAGCATGCCGGGAGTCGGAGTGACCTCAGCGCTGCCCGCCCAGAACCTTCCCCGTCAATACAGGCCCAAACAAAGTGCCCCCTCCGCCTGACTCCCTTTTTGATGAGTCACATATGAGAGTGGGAGTAGTGCCCGTGTTTTCTGCTTTTCCTTTAGCCGGGATTCTCCGGAGGGCCAACTCCTTCAGGCGCGCCGAAGCCAACTAGCGCCCCCAGGAATGAATCGGACTGAAGAAAGAAAGAGAGTCGAGTTTGGGTTGAGCGACCTCCTTTGCTTTTTGCATTCTGTCGGTTGTCATAACCTCATAGTCCTCATGGAAAGGGGTGGAAACGCCTTTAGTTTGGATCATCTTCGAACTCAAAATGCTATGAGTTTAATTCGCTGTATGAGGTGACAAGAGACTTGTTTGGATGAAGTCATGTGAGCTGAATGGATTGGTTGGAATCCCTGAACAGGAGTGTCTGGGCGCGCGACTCGGGAGAAGTGAGGTAACGCTGGCACCTTCCCGAAAGTCCCTGAACGCCCCACAGTATCTGTCGAAAGCACTTCTAAGTGGGTCGTTGGCATCTACGGACTCCTAACTGTGCCACCATTAGTTTTAGAAAAGGAGACAACTCAAAGAAATTCTACGACGCTCCCCACCCCAAACTGAATAAAAAAGAACTAGGATTAGTGATCCCTAGCAATTTATAATGTTGAACAATTTTACTTTTAAGTTTACTTGTTAAGTTGGTAAATGCTGTCGTGTCGGTTCCGACTCAGCGACCCTTAATAGGGTTTTCGAGTTTGGTGAGTTTGAACTGCCCCTATTTACTTGTTGTTGTTGTTATGTGCCGTGGAGTCGGTTCCGACTCGTAGCGACCCTGCACAGGGTTTCCAAGGCTGTTAATCTTTAAGGGAGCAGAACGCCTCATCTTTCTCCCGCGGAGCAGCTGGTAGTTTCGAACTGCTGACCTTGCGGTTCGCAGCCCGATTCGTAGCCACTATGCTACCAGAGCACCTATTTACTTAGTAAAATTTTATTTACTTCTCAAATAAAAGTTGTCTATGTAATGTAGAAAGTTTTTTTGTTTTATTTTACTTTTTATTGTAAATTGAGTGAAGGTTCATAAAGCAGATCATCAGTTTTACATTCAGCAATCCATACAATTCATTTCATGTAGATTGCAATCCCCACTATGTAACATCTTTTAACTCCCTCGCAATTTATAATGTTGAACAATTTAACTTTTAAGTTTACTTGTTAAATTGGTAAGTGCTGTCGAGTCGGTTCCGACCCATAGCGACCCTGTTTAGGGTTTCCAAGGAACGGCCAGTGAGCTTGAACCAGCCACCTCAACTCCCTTACTCCTGTGTTTATTTCCACTCCTGCATTCCCTACCCTCTGAGTTAAAGAGCATTTTGTAGAGATTTACTGTCCCAATTGGAAAAGATTTACTAAAAGCATCTTGCATATAAATTGAGATTATGTAAATTATACCCAAATTATATTTCCATATATGGCATATAAATATATATTTGCAAAATGTCAACAACAGGATTAATGTCTTAAGAATCCCTGAGTGATACAAATGGTTAACTTTTTCAACCAGAAAGTTGGAGGTTTGAGTCCACCCAGAGGTGTTTTAGAAGAAAGACTTAGTGATCTGCTTCCAAAACAATCAGCTTTTGAAAGCTCTATAGAGCAGAATTTACTGTGACACACCTGAGATCGCCATGAGTAGGACTTGACTCCGCACCTACTGGTTATATAAGGTGGTGGTGTTATGTGCTGTGGAGTCGATTCTGACTCATAGTGACCCTGTACAGGGTTTCCGAGGCTGTAAATCTTTACAGGAGCCTCATCTGTCTCCCATGGAACAGCTGGTAGTTTCGAACTGCTGACCCTCAGGTTCGCAGCCCGATTCATAACCACTTCGCTACCAGAGCTCCGTATATAAGGAGTACTTACAAAAGATCCTTCTCAGTGAATTCTCACTTCTAAAAGTGAAAAATGCAAAAGCAGCACTTAGATGGATAAGCAGCAGTTAAAGATGTGGATTTTTTTGCCTCTCAAAATCTAAAAAGAATTATATTAAACTCTCAGGTTGTAGGGAGTCATACAGGCACATATTGTTGATTGAAGTGTAATTTCCTAAATCTTACTAAAGGAAATATGTAACACGCTTTCAACAATGTGAATAACCTTGGACTCAGCAATTCTACTTTGGAATTTTTCTTAAATATATTCTTAAAATCCATCAATAAAGATATTCATGTCAATATGGTTTATACACTATTCCTAATTTATCAACTATCTCATCTGACATGTCTCATATGTAATAACTAAAAAAAAATCTGTTTTGCACTTTAACAGTGTACATCTGGCAGTAACAAATGCCTGAGTATGAGGCAAGAGTAATGCTAACTGTGATAATTAAAGCTATGTGTCAATTTGGCGGGCCATAATTCTCAGTGGACTGGCTGTTATATAATGTAATTTGGCAGTTATGATCTGATGTGTTCATCTTTCATTTTCACATAATGCTTATTTTCATATAACGATCGGGTCTTTGGAACGTAACCATGCCGATAAATGAGGAGTGGACATAATGTCAAAGCACTATAGTCCATTTAAATGACCAACACTAAAAGATTAGGCAAATTGCTTTGCCTCAGTTTATCAAAATAGTGCCAAAAATGGAGTTATGAAGATCAAATGGGTTAAAACAGTTTAAAGCCATTGTTACTGAATACCATCAAGTCAATCCTGGCTCGTAGAGTCCCCATGTGACAGTAGAACTTCCCATAGTTTTCTTACCTGTAATCTTTATGGAAGAAGATCACCAGGTCTTTCCGCCATGGAACTGCTGGTGGATTTGAACCATCAACCTTCCATTTAACAGCCAATTGCCCAGCAATTGTGCCACCAGGACTCTTTCAAAGCCCTTGTTGTGAAGTGCCATGGAGGTAGTTCTGATTCATAGCTACCCTGTTTTGAAGGAGCAGCTGGTAGGTTTGAACTGCCGACTTTGCATGTAGCCTTGCATATAGTCAGCAGCATGTAAGTATTAGCTGATGTCACATCAGCCCCTACTCATGTCAACTCCAAACACGACAGCATGAAATACTGTCCCATCCTGAACTATCTCTATGATGGTTTGCAGATCAGACCATTGTGGTTCATAGGATTTTCATTTTCAGCAGTAGATCACCAGCCCTTCTTCGTTTATTGTAAACAGGGAGCTCCATTGAAGTCTGTTCAGGTTCATACCCTCTACCTTAAATTGATTATGATTCATGGAGACACTCTAGAGGGTTTCTAAGACTACTGTAAATCTTTACGGGAGCAGAAAGCCTTATCTTTCTGCCAAGGAGTGACTGCTAAGTTTGAAATGCTGACCCTGTGGTTAACTGTCTATTGTTTATTGTACAGTGCCACCAGGTTTCCAACCCACAAGTCTGTTTCTGGTAGAAAGGTAGTGGCTGCTCATCAAAGGCATTGGCTGGGAATTGAACCTAGGTCTTCCACATGGAGGAGGAAATCTACGACTGAACCACTGTTGTTGTTGTTGTCAGGTGCCATCGAGTCGGAACCGACTCATAGCGACCCTATGCACAGCAGAACGAAACAATGTTCGATCCTGGGCCAACCTCACTACCACTGCCACACCTGAGTCCATCAATGATGCCACCTGGCTGATTCATCTCGTTGGGGTCTTCCTCTTTTTCTCTGACCCTCCACCCTACCCAGCATGACATCCTTCTCCAGCGATTGTTTCCTCCGGACAATATGTCCAAAGTAGGAGAGACGAAGTTTAGCCATCCTGGCCTCCAAGGAGCACTCTGGCTGCACTTCTTCCAAAACAGATTTATTGGTTCTTTTGGCAGTCCATGGCACTTTCAGTATTCTCCTCCAACACCACAACTCAAAGGCATCAATTCTTCTACGATCCTCCTTATTCACTGTCCAGCTTTCGCATCCATATGAGGCTATTGAAAACACAATGGCCTGGGTCAGGCGCACCCTAGTCCTCAAGCTGACATCTCTACTCTTCAACACTTTAAAAAGTTCCTGTGCAGCAGATTTGCCCAGTGCAATACGTCGTCTGATCTCTTGACTGCTACTTCCGCGAGTGTTGATAGTTGATCCAAGAAGAATGAAGTCCTTGACAACTTCAATCTTTTCTCCATTGATAAGAATATTGTTTATTGGTCCAGTGGTGAGGATTTTTGTTTTCTTGACATTTAGATGTAATCCATATCGAAGGCTGTGCTCTTTAATCTTCATAAGTAAATGTTTCAAGTCCTCTTCACTCTCAGCGATCAATGTTGTATCATCTGCATATCGCAGGTTGTTAATGAGTCTTCCTCCAATCCTGATGCCACGTTTTTCTTCATAGAACCCAGCTTCTCGTATTATTTGCTCAGCATACAGGTTGAATAAGTATGGTGAAAGAATACAACCCTGTCTCACACCTTTCCCAATTTTAAAACATTCAGTGTTCCCATGTTCTGTTCGAACAACTGCTTCTTGATCTAGGTACAGATTTCTTAGAAGTACAATTAAGTGTTCTGGAATACTGAACCACTAATGCCTCATAAATATGTCATAATCAGTGTTGCTATAAATAAATTATAAGAAGTTCTAGTGGCTCCACAGGCATTAAAGGTTATAATGTAATTTGTATTTACAAAGACTTTTGGGATACCTTAAATTAAAAAAAAAAAAGTAACAAAACTATGTCAACTTACAAAATACTCCAAACAAAAAAAGACTGAAAGGAAGTACATGAAAATATCAACATGGTTACGTCTATGTGG